GTTAATATAGTATAAAAGCTAACTAAAACTACTAAACTCTTCTCTACACCCTAGTTGGTAGGCTTCGAAAGAGGAGTGGATAAACTTGGTCAGAGAATAGGTGTTTATAGTTACTATGCTAGTCACGGGATTACTTCTGAATTGTTCCTACTTTTTATACTTGAATTTACTACTATTCTCAATATTGTTATTACTTTTACTTTCTCTCTACTAATATCTGCTAGTATAGTTTTCTACTATTCAAGTGCGCTGGGTTTCAATCAAACTTTCGGGTTTCGAATTTCGGTGTCATGTGTAACGGGATCATGTAAATAGGGTTAATCACAAACGTAATCAATTTAAGTTTTTATATAAATAGGGTCAGGTTACTAATAAGATCTTTTTCTTTTACTTTTAGCTTACTAACGATAACGGGTCTCTTACGAATCACAGGGACAAGAACATATGATAAACGATAAACGATATACGCTAACGACTTTATATCAAGTAAGAACCTTAAGAAAAACTACTACTTATTTATTTTCGTAGTTATGAACTCAAGGGGAGTTATCCATTATTTTCAGCGAAATTTTAGCACTTAAATACATTTTGCACGTTACTAATTTACTGCATTTTACACGTTACTAATTCACTGCGAATTTTTCTATCGTTACGACCAGAAACTGCCAATTCTGGCAGATCTGTTAGTTTCACCAGTTTTGGCAGATTCTCTACCAACTTTGGTTAAATCGACCCGAACCACTTCGGTGATAATCTTTAGATGAATTTTCCTCTCACAATTACGTACGTACGTGCGTAGACTATACTTGGTAAGAATTCGAATCGCATTATTCATTAAATTTTTTTTATACTGAAACTAGAAATATTTTCGTGACCTTATAGTACTAAATTATAACATTCTGTATACTCGCAATTTATCGTTATAGATTCTCGTTAACATGATTTATAAAAAACTAGGCTATTCCGAAGTATATATTTTATATTTTATTAATTTTAAATATTAAATTTTATATATTTACAAATATATACTAAAAATTATTGGTTTTGTAAAATGTCCTCAATAGACCATTCTTCACTTTCTACAGTTGTTGAAGAATCGTGAACTTCAAAAGAAGAAAAATTTTTTTGATCCTTTTGAAATGCCTCAAAATCGAAAAAATCCTCCATAATAGAATTATCAACTTCTTCATCGTCAAT